AAAGGTTACGAAGCTTAGCAAAGCTTACGAAGCTTAGCAAAGGTTAACGAAATTTTCCATGCGCGGATCTGTATAAACACATATAAATGAGTAGGAAAATCCTTAGTGAGCTCGCTAAGGCCTCTAAGCTCGCTAAGGTGCGCGGAGAAGCTCACGTAAGCTAGCTAAGGTCCCTAAGCTTAGGTAAGGTCTCGACGCTCGCCAAGGTGCGCGGAGAAGCTTACGTAAGCTCGGTAACCTAAATTGAAGTGGGACACAACTTTCGCATCTGAGTTTAACATTTTTCTTCCTTGGAATCCATCTGGGATAAAAATTGAAGTGGGACAAAACTTTTGCCTCCGACTATAAAATATTTTCGGTCATGGAAAAGCAGTTTCCGGCAACATCCACATACAAATTCCTTGGAGAACTCCTGGGATTATTTGAAATATCATCTGGGATGGAAATTGAAGTGGGACAAGCCTTTCGCATTTGAGTTTAACGTTTTTTCTTCCTTGGAATCCATCTGGGATAGAAATTGAAGTGGGACAAAACTTTCGCCTCCGACTATTTTCGGTCATGGAAAAGCAGTTTCCGGCAACATCCACATACAAATTCCTTGGAGAACTCCTGGGATTATTTGAAATATCATCTGGGATGGAAATTAAAGTGGGACAAGACTTTCGCATTTGAGTTTAACAATTTTTCTTCCTCGGAATCCATCTGGGATGGAAATTGAAGTGGGACAAGACTTTCGCATTTGAGTTTAACATTTTTCTTCCTTGGAATCCATCTGGGATGGAAATTGAAGTGGGACAAAACTTTCGCATCTGAGCTTAACATTTTTCTTCCTTGGAATCCATCGGGGATGGAAATTGAGGTGGGACAAAACTTTCGCATCTGCGTTTAACATTTTTTTCTTCCTTGGAATCCTTCTGGGATGGAAATTGAAGAGGGACAAAACTTTCGCATCTGAGTTCAACATTTTTTTCTTCCTTGGAATCCATCTGGGATGGAATCTTGATATGCGAATATTTATTCGATATGCTGATTCATGAACAAATCTTCTACATGTCTGACATATAACTTGTTGTATTCGGGCCGAGAGGCCGAAGTGATTGAGCCCTCTCCCCTCTCTAGTATTTAAGGAATCGGCAGATGGAATAAAAACACTTCGTTTTCCCGAGCCTCACAATAGTGGTAACACACGTAGACCTCGATATCCAACAGTGGCGCAGTCGACAGTTCAGAATTTGTGCGGCGAAATTCCGAGGAAATGGAGAAAGGTCTACAGGAGATCCTTGACTCGATGTCGAATGCGATCAAACTCCTAGCAGAGAACCAAGCGGCTAAAGAGACAAGCAACTCTTCGGCACTGCAGAACGCCACCTCACTCTTAGGCACCTTTGACTACAGACCGGAAGCCGACCAGACATTCCAGAGATGGTTCGCTCGACATCAAACCATCCTCGAAGAATCAACGTCTTCCGATAAGTTGAGGGTTCAGCTTTTACTGAAAGCTCTAGGATCCAGTGAATATGGGCGGCTACGCAACAGACTTTCTCCTTTGGCACCGGAAGCCAAATCATATCCAGAATTGGTTAGAGCGTGTGAGGAGTCTTTCGGACCCACGAAGTCACTCTTCCGCCGACGTTACGAGACCCTTGGAGGACGGGCTCCCCCTGGCACCTCAGCGGAAGATATCATGGATTGGGCAAACATCAAGGGCGACGAGTTCGAGCTATCGAACCTAAAAGCCGATACATTCAAGCTATTTTTAGCTCTGATTTATGCCTCCGATTCGTCGTTCAAAAACTTCCGCGCAGTGATTCTCAAGACTCTCGAAGACAAACCAGAACAATCTCTCTCTGACGTTCGCGAGGTTTTGAGACGCTTTGAAATCCGCACGCAGGATTCTGCGTTGGATGCGGAAGTGTCCCATACGAACGTGAACCGAATCACGCATACCCAAAGTTCCGACAGGAGCAGATCAGGTCCTACGAGTGCCAGCTGTCGGAGCTGTGGGGGCCCACATAAAAGGCAAAACTAGTCGTTTCGCTAGCGCGAGATGTAACGACCTGTAAAAAGAAAGGGACACATCGAAAAAGTATGCTTCTCCAGGACGTCACAAGGAAAGCCTACAGTCAAGTCGAATGTCGTACAATTAGCAACAGCCTCGACACCCGCACAACCTTATCGGGCATATGCAACGATACAAGTAAACGGTGTCCCAATCAAATTCCGCATCGACACAGGAGCGGATTTGACCTCAATCGGCAAGTCCGTCTGGAAACAATTGGGTTCCCCTAAATTATCGCCCTTGAGGACTTCTTGTACAACAGCTGATGAACAACCCCTGAAGGTTCTTGGAGTCTTCATCGCGTCCTTCTCGCTGACAGAGTCTACGGGCATGACAGACAAGGTTCTGGTCCTCAATTCCGGGAACGCCGTATTACTGGGCGGTCGTGTGATTTTCGGCTTGGGCTTGATGACGCCCTCTCCAGCAGTGCAGATCGCGACAGTCGGAAGTCGAGATGTCGACTCACAAGGAGTGAAAGCACTGTTTCCGAAACTTTTCCAAGAAGGTCTTGGTCGTTGTTCAAAGCTCACCGTCGAGCTCAAAACTAAAGAGGGAGCGCGACCTGTCCACATTCGAGCGAGGCCGATTGCCATACCCATAAGGGAAGCGGTTGACAAGGAATTAGATCGACTTCTAGAGAACGAAACTCTGTCCCCCGTGGAAACGTCAGAGTGGGCATCGCCCATCGTCGTTGTTCGGAAAGCCAACGGAAACATCGCATGTCGTGCGGACTATTCAACGGGGCTCAACGACGCCCTGTGTGATGTTTAGCCCACCCGATTCCAGACATGGAAAGCATCATGGCGAGTTTCTCTGGCAACCGGGTCTTCACCCAGTTAGATCTATCCGATGCGTACTTGCAGTTAGTACTCAACCCGTCGTGCAGAAACCTGACGACCGCCAATACCCACCGAGGGCTCTTCCAGTACAATCGCCTAGTTTTCGGGTTGAAAACTGCTCCAGCGATCTTTCAAAGAGCCATGGATCAAACACTTGCAGGCCTCGATGGTGTTCTTGTGTATTTAGACGACATACTGGTGATGGGGTCATCACAAACGGAACACGACGGAAGACTTCTCAAGGTTCTGTCCCGCCTGCAAGAATGGGGGTTTCGTCTCGGTCTCGCGAAATGTCATTTCAATGCTCCGAGCGTCAAGTATCTGGGCGTAATCGTGGACAAAGACGGTATCCGGGCAGATCCGCAGAAAATCCAAGCGATCCGAAATCTCCGGCGTCCGGAGAACATTTCGGAAGTCCGATCTCTTCTGGGACTCATCAATTACTATGGTCGGTTCGTCGACCGTCTACATCGCTACAAAGCCGTTTTCGAAGCACTACTACGCAAAGACACCAAATTCCTTTGGTCTCCGGCACATGATCAGGCATTCGAAAAGGTGAAAGATGTTCTCTCTGGGCCTCTAGTGCTGGCGCATTATGACCCGCGACAAAAGTTAATAGTGGCGGCGGACGCATGTGAAACCGGAATCGGGGGTGTGCTTCTGCAACGGTATGCGGACTCCTCTACGAAAGCTGTCTTCCACATCTCGAAGTCTCTCAACCCTGCACAACGAAATTACAGTCAGATAGAGAAGGAAGCGTTGGCACTGATCACGACCGTGGAACGTTTGAGAAAATTCATCTGGGGGCGACGGTTTGTACTCCAAACCGATCACCGCCCTCTGCTGGCATTGTTCCGTACATCGCAGACGAAAGGCTTGAGTGACCGAACTGCTGCCAGGCTCCGTCGGTGGGCGCTACGCCTGGTGGGATACGATTTCGACATTGAGTACATTCGTACCGCGGACTTCGGCCACGCAGATGCCCTATCGCGACTTATCCAGCAAGCAAGGAAAGATGCAGCTGATCCGGAAATGGATGAAGTGATTGCGAATGTCAACGCACAAGAGCTGGAAATCTTGAGTTTGACATCGGACGCCCGATTTTTCACTCACACCGGGGAGAAAATTCGCGAGGCAACGAGGAAAGACCCTCTGCTCCGGCAGGTTTCTCAGAGATTACTGCAGGGTTGGAACAAGTCTGACAGCAAGGATCCGAACCTGCGACCCTTCGCACAACAAGCGGACTCCCTGTGCGACGTGGAGGGCATCTTACTGGTGGACGAGAGAGTCGTCGTCCCATCGAGTCTTCGCACCACGGTGCTCAAGCAGCTCCATCAAGGACATCCCGGAATCGTTCGAATGAAGGCTCTGGGTCGCATGTATTTCTACTGGCCCGGGATGTCGGTAGAAATCGAACGACTGGTTCGGAGTTGCCCGCACTGTGCGCAGAACGCTTCAAGTCCGGTGAAGGTTCCGTTGGCCCCATGGCCTGATCCCGAGAAGGCTTGGGTGCGCGTACATCTGGACTTCGCGGAACCACGGAAAGGCAAAGCGTTTTTAGTGATCGTAGATGCGTTTTCCAAGTTCGTCGATGCTACGTGGATGTCACCCGCTTCAAGCTTCGAGGTGGTTAAGTATCTCAAAACGCTCTTCCGTCTCATGGGTCCTCCAGAAACAATGGTGACGGACAATGGATGTCAGTTCACGTCACGGGAATTTGCAAGCCTATGTCAATCCTTTAACATCGTCCATTTGCGTTGTGCACCACGGATGCCACAAAGTAATGGCCAGGCGGAACGGATGGTTCACACGTTGAAAAACTCCCTCCAAGACCAGGATCCGGAAGCTCTGGATCGGGCGGTTGCGGCGTACAACTACACGCCTTGTCAAACTCTGGGAGGCAAAGCTCCGTCGGAGGTGTTTTTCGGACGCAGGGTGCGGACCCACTTCAGTGTGTTCCGTTCAGGTACCTCAAACCTTCCGGCTGCTAGTGCGAAGTTCAAGCATCAGTTCGACGACCACCACGGAACGTGCGCGCGGCAGTTTTCGGAAGGTGAAGAAGTTGTGATCGAACTCCATAACGGGCGAAGAGTGCCTGCAATCTTCACAGAGTACCTCGGTTCGTCAATGGCGAAGCTCAAGGTCGACGACGCGGACCATGTCCGTCACCTCAACCAAATTTGGCGGCGGAAAATAGACTCGCGTAAAGCGCTGGGGGAGGAGGTGCTGCAAGAGCATTTCATCGAGGAGCTCCTGACAAATGCTTCCGATCGAGACAAGATTGCAGCCCGGTAGCGACCGAATCCTCGTCCCAGTCCGTAGCTGAATCGAGTCTTTCTCCTGTCTCTTCTACGGAGTTCGCTGGCCCCTCTGACGAGGGTGAAAGTTCTGCTTCTCAGGAACCCAGTGAGGACTCAAGTGACGGTCGGCGCAAGCAGCCGGCGAGGGCTGCCAAGGACAGGGTCCTGTCCGGCTTCAGTCGATTCTTTGGGGCCTCGACTTGAAGGGAAGGAATGTTGTATTCGGGCCGAGAGGCCGAAGTGATTGAGCCCTCTCCCCTCTCTAGTATTTAAGGAATCGGCAGATGGAATAAAAACACTTCGTTTTCCCGAGCCTCACAATAGTGGTAACACACGTAGACCTCGATATCCAACATAACTCAAAACTGAATGTCGGCCGCCCAGACATGGTCATAAACATCTTATTGGCGTGATATTTCTTCCAGTGTTTATGATAACTCGCGAAAGCTTTCTTCGGTGAATTCGTCTTAACTAAGTGATATGCTCGTTTCCCAGTTCTGAGCGGACAGAGAACACAGCTATAATCGTAGACCTTTTCAGCGTCCCGACCTTCCATTTCAACGCAGAATCTGACTCCTTGTAGAGGGGAACGTAAATCAGCAATGTTCCCTGAATGGTTCAATGCACCTTCGATATCGACTAAGTACCGCTTTCCAAACACCAGGAATCCCAATTCGAGGTCGTTTACATTACAGTTTCGATATTTTTCGGAAAATTCGTGAGAGAACATGATCTGGCTACGGGTTGAAGTAGAGGGTAGACTGATGACCATCGTTCGGCATCGTTCCAATTGGTCTAGATATTCTCCCATCAAATTACGTACCGCATCAGGCGAGGGCGAATGAACGCTGTAAACATTACCATCCGGAGTACATTTGAGGTCGAGACTATGAGCTTCCAATAAGAATTCAGTTGGAGGGTCTGGCTCAGGTCGTGAAGCTGGTTCAGACAATTCTTCGTTATCGTGATCGGATCGTAATACAAACAACGTTTCCGTCGTTGGGGTAGGTGGATCCATCAGATTCACAGATACAGATTCACGCAGAAATGGATCGTGATGCGCAAGATCACGAGTTGCGCCGAAACCACCAACGAGATTCACGAGAGCTGATGACTGCGAAGGGGTGTTCATTACAGCAAATTGTTGCATCGTTTTTGTCATAGTTATTCGACGCTCTGAATTATTTTGATCGAGTGCACAGAACTTCATTATTGTGCAAAGATATTGGGTATATACGGTATAGTCGATCGAGTCCCGTAAGTCATCTTGCCTAGCAGAAGATTCTGATAATATTAGGAATTTTTCTTCTGCTATTTTGATCAGACCGAATACAATCTTGTTCCAAAACGATTCCTTATCGATGGGATTCGCTAAGACATCAATGTACCGAGCTTGTTGAAAAAAGTTTTCGGTCCTTCTGCATGTGAACCGTAGGATCGGAGGAGGATGAATTTCATTGGAATCTTCATCAACTATCGAGATGTTCAAACCTCCATTCGATCTCCAGAAACCATAAATTGTCTCTATAAACGAGTAATTAGTGATCAATGTTCTTCCAAGGTCACTGATATGAATGCTGATTTTGTTGCGGAGCTCGCCGTTGGTTGGAACTGACCCCGGGGGTGATATTCCGCTTTCGACGCCATCCAGAGCCGATTCGTTCATAGGCAACACACGGACGTTGTTCAAATTGGAAAGAAGAATTAGCAATCTCATCGATAATGCATAATCGATCAGGTCTCCCCAATAGTCTGAAGAGCGACTTCGAAAATTTCCGAGAGCCTGTCGATGTTCGAGTTCACGTTTCCGTATTGTGAATACTTCCTTCATTCGCTGTTTTGTCTCATTGCTAACCCCCTTTTTCAACTTCCACTCTCGACCGCACATCCAAAGAGCAAGCTTTGATTTCCCCACGACGAACTGTCGAGACGCATCGTAAACATCTTTCAGCAACCAATAAAGTTCCTGGTGGCATGGTAGTACAGGAGGTATTTCATTTCGCAGCCTACGTAGAGCAAACATATTGAGCAACATTGTTCTTGTCGCCATTCATTCGCTAGCGATGTGAATGAGTCACCATTATCAAGAATCGACGAGATGCACTGCCAGATGCAGTTCGCTCTGTTGAAGACGTGTCTCACCGTCGCGTAACGGAGCGTTTCGAAACATGCTTCTTGTGATGTTACCAACATGTTTAAAATGAATCGTTGGCGTTTCTCGGTGAGCGTTGACAAGAACACTGTAGATCGGGCAGGCTCGCCGTCACGCCCAGCTACCGATTTCTTGATAGTATTGACGAACACTTGTAGGATAACCGTAATGAATTACATGCCGAACATTTTCTTTGTCGAAACCCATGGCGAGCGCCGACGTCGTCAGAATGATACGGATCTCATCTCGGATGAACGCGGTTAGGTTTCTCTTTCTAGTGTCATGAGGCAAGCTAGAATAGTATACGACGTGCGGTATCCTGAGGAGGGTGAGTTCGGCACTCGTTTTTTCAACGTCCTTGGCGTATCGAAAATACACCATCGTCGATTCCTCCAGACCTATGCAATCGAGGAGATCGCGCTCATTGTTTGCTGCATTTTTTACGTGAATGTAAATGTTATCACGGATACAGGGCGTTCTGAGCTGCATAAAGTCGTGGGGGGATCGTAGTCTTCTCCGAATATCCTCTATTTCCTCTGTTGTTATTGAAGCAGACAGAAACAGATTTGGGCAGTTAGAGAGCGAGCTCCCTATGATATCGAAGATGTTGTTGTAGCTTGGCCGAAAGAATTTCCAGTCTGTGATAACGTGAGCCTCATCGACCGCCACTAGACCCAAACCGCATTCACGGTCAATGGCGATGAAGCGATCGATACTCTCCGTTAAATACTCAGGAGACACGAAAAGGAGATGGGGTTGCCTCGTTTCGCATCTGAAGAGGATATCCCCATTGCTCACCTCGCTGCCGTTATCCGGACCGATATATGCTGCGTTGACGCCGAACTTCTCGCTCCACTTCCGTGCTTGATCCAGACAGAGAGCCCGGAGTGGAGAAATCACCACCACCGTAGCTTTTAAATATTCATGTACGAAAGCGTATATGAGCGATTTTCCTCCTCCAGTCGGCATAACTGCGACTACGTTTTTCCTTTCGAGTATCAGCTCAATCGCACGCATTTGATGTCCTCGGAAACTGTCGATTCCGGGAAACCGGTTCCTCAGAAATTCTTGTAGATGACTCATGTTGTAGGAATTTTTGAACGATGCAAAATTGATCGAAGAAACTGAGCGTTCTCTCGCGTGAGATACTAGGTCAAAAAGGAGTCAATATTTGTGAACAATGAGCTGGTCAAAATATAGATAGATAGATAGATAGATAGATAGATAGATAGATAGATAGATAGATAGATAGATAGATAGATAAATCGTTTATTTATCCGAAACTTGGCATTCGACAGATGGTAGATATGATCTATCATCCGCACAGAAGATCGAGCTCTCCTAACGTTCTAGGGCAGTATTCAATGCCCGAAACGAGCCTAGCGTTCCCCCTCTGTACTTCTACAGCGACGCGCTGTCTTATGTACATCGCAGCTCGGCGATCGCCACCGCGGGCCACTATACGGCGTCCGATTTCTTTTGTCAACTTCAGAGCGTCCGAGCCCCACACGCCGGTGGATTCAATGACAAAAGGGACGAAAGTGTAAGTTTCGAGGAATTCCCGATACTTGGTCCTTTTCTCTTGTTCGGCTTTGGCCGCCACCGCCCGCGCTGATCTGGCTATCTGTCTATTACTCGGTGCAAACGAATCTCTGATTGTCACATCCCAGATGAGTTGTTGGCCTCGAGACCATGGTTCATGTGAAATGCCGTCGGGCCTCAACATGTCGTTTGTTGATAGGTTTCTGGGCTCTTTCGTGCTTGTTGTTCCGGACTGCCTTAAAGCTCTTGCTACCAGATCGTTGATTGCAGCGTGCCGAGACATTCTCCCGGATGCAAGGGACACACAACTCAAGCGGTGGAGTCCGTAGCGGTCCGCTACGTTCCCGCAGGCGCAAGTCACTTCTTCCATCAGGGGCAAACCCAATCGGAGTTTCGCTGCGAGTATGAAATCCCTATCTTCCAGGAGGGTGCCGATGTTCATGCTGGGCATTGTTTGAAGCCACCAGCCCGATTCCGGGACCGAAGCGTTGCAAAGTCTGATCGTATCGGTTTCGGAGTGGGAAAATCTCTGGCGTAAAGACGATATGATCGTATCACTGGCG